GCAGGCGAGGAACCCAGCCAAACCTTCCAGATGAAACTGAGAGACTAAAAGGACAACCAGAAGACAAGCCCCTCTGGTCCTCATCGAGGAGACAGAGATAGAGGCAAACGAAGCAGAGAAAGACAGAGATAGCAGTGTAGCCAGAGAGGCAGAGGTGAGAGATTCAGACAAAGGTGCCAGTGTAGAAGACAAAGATCCACAGGTGTCGGCAGGGGAAGCAAGGGAAGGGGAGATGAGCCTGGAGAGGGTCGTGGCAGAGGCCTGGAGAAGCAGAGAGGCAGGAGAGAGTGAGAGTGAGTCAGGCAGAGGCAGATCCGCTGACAGGATCGGAGAGATCCACAAGAAGGGAAAGGATTCAGAGACCACAGAGCCTGCACAGGGCCACAGTGCGTGGGGAGGAGGCCAAGGGGAAGCTGGGCTGAGATGAGGAAGCGCCCTGTGGTGAGGGCGGGCACTGTTTTCTGGGAACAGCAATTCTTGGGATTCTGCCGGAGGTGGAATAAACAAAGGGTCTTTAGATCAGGCAGACCCTGCCAGCTATCCATCCTCCCCTGGCTGTGTTAACCTCACTCAGGCCCACACAGGAGAGGCTGGATGTGCTTCCAGGAGCTCAGCGGTGAGGGCTTCACAGGACTGAGGGAGGTCAGCCACCCAAGAGACTTTAGAAGGATGAGGTCACAGTCTAGGGACCACAGCTTGGTAGGAAGAGTGTGAGTGGATTCTTCCTCTCAGGATCACACTGTGATCCTGTGGGTTTAGAGACACTATAGACTGGCCCGCCCCTGCCCCGGCCCCAGGACCATTGTTCTGGCTCTTGCAGGGCCCAGCTCTGGATGTGCTCTAGCTGCCCCTTGACCTCCTACACTGACACAGGAAGCTGAGCCCATTGGGCCACCAGATGCCACTTGCACCTTTTTCCTAAGCCCCAGCCTGGGCCTGGCAGCACTGAGGGATGCAGAGAATCCAGGTGGGGCTGGATTTAGGCCAGCAGTCTGGAGGGCATCCTAGCCCAGCTCACCAGAGGCAGAGGGACAGCCATTCCAGAGAGCAGCAAGGGTCAGGTCTGGCTCTCTGAGCCCCAGCACCAAGGCAAGTATGTGGAAGATACTCCAAGGTCAATCACACTGTGTGATTCCTACCTCTGTGGTGAAATCTACCCTGTTTCCCACTCCTCCAAATGCCAACTTCTCCAGGAGGCCTACCTGGCTGATTCTCCCTGTTGGATGTAGCCCCTCCCTGCCAGGGCCCATATGCTGTGTGACCCTCTCTTGGCGGTTCATCTTTCCTTGTTACCATTGCTGCTTTTATTGCTCTCTCCAGCCTCCTGTGGTCAAATGTGAGCTGCTCCAGGGCAGACAGGTGGGGCAAGGGAAAGAACCAGTGACCTAGGTTCAAATCCCAGCTTTGCGTCACCACCTAATTTATGAGAACTCAGTGAAATGTTCTCACCATTGCTTTCTTTTTTTTTTTTTTTTTTTTGAGAGAGATTTTTACCATAGGGTGAGTGCACTCACCAGAGAGAGACAGAAAGAAAAGAAATGAGAAATCACCCCCCAGAGAAAATGAGAAATCACCCCCCAGGGAGGATGGCCACATCACAATCCCATCTTCTCCATTTTCTTCTCAGGATTTGGGCACACATGCAAAAGTGCCCAGCATGAGTTTTAAGCTACTGGGTCTGGGACTCAAACCACAGTCAACTACATGGGAGTCAAAGACATAACCATTACACCATCTGCTGGTCCCTCACCTTTTCTAGTAGAGAGGAAACCGATGCTCAAAGAGGGCAAGCGAGTTGTCCAAGATCACCTGCATGTAAACCACAGAGTGGGGCCAGAACCCAGGTCGGCCTGATGTCAAGCCCTTTTCTTTCGTGCCATTGCCCTTGGGCTTTCTCTTCCCTTCCTCACATCCCACACAGGATGAGCATTGCAGGGGCAGAGATGGCCTCCACAAATGACTGGACAAGTGACTGGACCTGATGTAGCAATAGGAACAGCGAGCTGCCCAGTATGGTTGGGGTGGGGGGGGGGGGGCCACTGGGCAATATCTTTGGCAATTAAGCCAAAGAAGCTGTTGGAGCTTCAGTACAAGGGGCTCGTATGCCACGTAAGGCATAAGGACTTCATCTTGGAGGCAACTGGAGCTATCGAAGGTATCCAAGGAGGCTACCGTGCTTTGTGGCCCAGAGATCTGTCTCCTAGGAACATTCATAGTGACCCCACTCCTACATGTAGCACTTTTAAGCACACAAAGCACTCTCATATCCATCTACAAATGTGGGAACTAAGGCTGAGAGGACTCCAATTACCGACCTAAGGTCACATAGCTAGTCAGTGGCAAGGTCAGGGCTCAAACTCCCACTGGAGTTAGGGCCCTTTCTGGCCTTCCCCTTTTCTCTTTTACTTTCTTCCTTCTTCTCCTCCCCCCGCCTCCCTTTCTTTGTTGTTGTCAGAGGGTATGCTTGTCAGAAAGAGAGCGAGAAAGAAGGAGAAAGCATTCCCCAACAGGGCATGATCACACCACAATCCTGGCTTTTCTATTTTTCCATCCTGTCAGGGTTTGGGGCATGCATGCGCGTGGACTCAGTCTGTTTTTCTAGCCTTCAGGTGGGGACTAGAACCACAGTGGGCCATATAGGACCCAGCTTCCTGTGTACAGATATGTCTGCTGCACTGCAGGGCTGTCCTCCCCTCTTCCCACAAGTGTGTACTGAAGGCTCCAATGTGAACACAGGCCTGGGGGCCTGGATCTGCAGGGAGCCTGTCCTGAATCCCCCTCCCGACCCCGGGGTCTCTGATGCCAAGGTGACTTTGCATTGATTATTTGGATTACTTTGTATTTGGAAGCTGAACCTTAACAAGGACTGGAGACTCATGATTAGAAATGAGATTGGCTAATATGGGCGGATGGGCCTCTTAAGGAGTCAATGTAGGCACAAAGAGGTGAGCGAGACCTCGTGCAGGGGAAGGCAATGAGCTCTTGGGCCAATGCTGTGGGCTCTTTGTTTTAGGCCCTGAGAAGACTGACCTGAGTCCCCGGTGAACTCAGGGCTCACCCTTCCCCCCAGGCTCAGTCACTATTTGTTAAGGTCATGGTGGGTCTAGATGAGGTAGCCAGGGCCAGAACTGGGAACAGAAAGTCCCAGCACAGTGTCTCTGACCCTGCTCGGAAATCACCAGAAAGTGCCTGTCCTCCTCTTTGCCAGATCTTTGCGAAGCGGCAGCCAGGAGGCCTGCAACAGCTGGACCTTCAACAGGCCATTATCCTCCCTACAGACCCACCCAAGGGTCCCTCTAGGAGGAATTTCCCCAAAATGACAATCAAGCCTGACATCCCAAGGATCCCCTGCCTGTCTTTGACTCTCCCCTCCAGAATGCTGCACTGGGTCAAGCTGAGAACTGGAGCACTTAGCCCCCACACTGTCCGCACCCCCTCCAGGCCATCTGGAGCCCCAAGTTCCAACCTTCTCTCCGGCTGAGTGCAACTCAGCAAGCGGTTTGCTGAGCAAGAATGATAGTTCTTGCTGATAGTTCAGTGTGTGCAGAGGCTAAGAGGTGGGAAAGAACACGAACACACCGAATTTGGGAGGTGGCAAGAACCTGCTGGAGCTGGGGAATAATGTTTACGAGGAGTGGATAGAGCAGGCCTGAGTGGCTTCCAGTAGCCTGGACCTTGAGGCTGAAGAATCAATTTGGGGGAACCAGCAGTTAGCGTAATGGCTATGTCACTGGACTCCCACGTAGTCAACAGCAGTTTGCATCCCAGACCCGGTGCCTTAAAACTCACGCTGGGCGCATGTGTGTGCATGCCCAAGAGAATGCCCAAGAGAATGGAGGAGAAGGGATTGTGGCGTGACCATCCCTCCTGGGGGGTGATTTCTCACTTTCTGTCTCTATGTCTCTCTCTCTGTCTGGCAAGCGCACGTGCCCTGTAGCAAAAACCTCTCCAAAAAAAAAAAAGAATCAATTTGGGTTGCTGATGGGGCAGGATGGGACAGGCTCTAACACTGTTGAGACTGCAGCCTGCCAGGTCTAGGCTGTCCTTTAATCCTATCAGAACCACCACTGAGAAGTAGGCACTGGTCTCTCACTTCCAGAGAAGGAAATTGAGGCTTTGAGAGGCTAAATTAGCTGTTCCAGGCCACATGGCTCCAATGTGGCAAAGCAAATATTTGAATCCGAAGTCTCCTGACCCAGAGGATTTCAGCACACACTTAACCTGGTCAGCTGGACAGGAAGACGGGTCAACCTCTGCCCTAGGGGAGTTTACTGACTAATAGGACTGGTAATGGGACAAAAAATGCAAGATTGTCTGTCACCAGTGTTGTAGCCCAGATAAGACTGAAGGAATCTGCCTGGAAGGGGGATTCTACAGAGAGAAAGACAACTGACTTGGCCGGTGGGCCCAGGGCAACTTGGGAGGAAGGTGGGACTTGAGGCCAGGCTTAGCCAGGATGAGGCTGGCCTCCTCCCACCCCAGGTCCTCTGCAGAGAGGCATCTGCCAGCATCCTGAGGATTGGCTGCTCAACAATGCAGCTGGGAGGGTCCTTCGGGGGCTCAACAGAGGACATGGGAGCACTGGAGGCTGGTGGCCTTTCCACTTACACTCTCCCTCTCTGCACACGCACATACTTTGGCACCTGAAACATAGTTCCAGGAGGTTTCTCTTTCTATTCTGTTCTCAGTTGGGATGCATGGTGGGACCTCCTCACTCTCG